GATAGTCTTTGTTAAACAAGTTGTTTTCTTCTCTTTCAAACACGCTGAGTTTCATACACAAGATTATGTTCTAGAAGAAATGCTACAACTGATTCCTTTTTCTTGCCTCACCACGTGCTAGCCAATTGTGAATTTTGAGATCATTCATCAGACGATGATGTATCTCAGCATTTTGTAAATCGAGCAGATTTGAGACCAATTGTGTTGGTGATTGTCGAATTCGGGGATCACGATGATTTGGGATTATAGTCGTGTTGGTAGGAAAATCAGTAACTTTGGGATCAACAAACTCCCTTTCCTCCACAATCATGTTGTGGAGAATAATGCAAGCGTACATGATTTGACGTATATTATGTAAGGACCAAAGACGACATGGCATTGCAAGAATATGCCATTGAGACTGGATTCCGCCAAAAGCTCGTTCGATGTCTTTTCGAGCGGCTTCTTGTAGCTTTGCATAGTACTCCGAAGCATCATCTTGTGGAGAATTGATAGTCTTGATTAAGACTGGCCATGCAGGGTAGATGCCATCTGCAAGGTAATATCCACGTGTATATTCATTATTGTTTACTGTAAAATTCAACCTTTCATCCGTTCCTGAACAACATGATCAGTGTTGTGAAGAATTCGAATGCAATGATGAAGAAATATTTACCACTTAAAAATCGGTCAAAAAGAGGGCTTTGATTGAGTACATTAATGTCGTTCAAAGAGCCAGGAACGCCAAAAAACGCGTGCCATATGCGTGTACTTTTTGAGGCCACCGCTTCTAGAACTATGGTGGTCTTTCTCTCTTTCCCCTGAAATTGTCCTGCCCAACCTGATGGACAATTCTTCCATACCCAATGCATTCCATCGATGGACCCTTTGCAACCCGGAAATCCACGAATTTCATACTCTTTTGTGATCTTCTCAAGCTCCTCTTCTGTTGGTGGGCGAAGGAACTCGGGTCCGTATATTTCAATAACACCTTGTACAAATTTTTTCAAGCACAAATTCGCAGTAGTCTCGCCAATTTCAACATATTCATCTACCATATCCGCTGAAACGCCATAAGCTAGCTGTCGTATCGCACTCGTTGCTTTTTGTATAGTCGATAAACCCAGCTGAAGGCAGCAATCCTACCAGGCACGCCAGATTGAAAAATGAAACATTAAGATATGGTAACAAGTTTTAAAAAAAGAACTACTGACATATCTTTGGACCCAAAATTTATCATGTGCTTCAAGTTTTACACAGATATCCAAAAACATCTCTTTGGACATCCTGAAACGCCGGTCAAATTCTACAGCCCAGCGGGCATCTACCTTAAAGTAATCATTTATGAGTCGAGCATGAGCCTCTTCTCTGTCCCTTTTTATCCGTCTTCGCCGATTCTTTTGCACACTAGTCATCTCCTCTTCGCTCAATTCTAACGCCAGGAAAGCCTCATCACTGTCGTCTTCGGATTCTCGTAGTCGACGCAGGTGATTACATAGCAGGTCGTTAGAGAGGAGCTCATTTATTTGCAGATTGTATTGTGGATCGTCGTCATCAGCCATGATCGATAAAGTTCTGTTGAAGTGTGAAAAGGTTTGAGATTGAGTTTGAGATTTACAGAAGATTTACAGAGGCGGAGAATTTTCACGATAGTGGGAAAACCAATATTCTGTACATCTGGTACCGTACCGATCCATCTTCTACCCAACGATAGTGGATTCTGACCGTTCGGTATTGAACAATACTGTACCGAGTGAGTACGTACAGAAATTTTACCGAAATTTTACTCGAACGATAGGAGATGCTCTTAATCAAGCAGCCGAGCATTACATGTCGCACTTTTTGAATGGTAATCTAGTATGTATGTAATCACATGAGGTATGGGTTTATGTAGATATCTCAATTTTCGATGCAAGGTCGATCATCATCGTGAATTTTAAATGTGACTTCTCAAAAATCTACAAAATCCAAATCCCAAAATGATTCATTCCTTTCGTTTTCATAAATCTAATATCTCAACTTCATTCAGATCTCATTCATCATTCTACACTTTCAAAACAAGAATCAATCCAAACTTATCTTATCAACAACCCATTCGAAAGATTTCACTTCATTCAACTCCATCTAGAAAACCTTCATGGATCTTAACTTCTTCTATCGGGCTTTTAATCGCAGGTTGGGCTTTTGATAAATATTATTATGCTGAAGCAGTTGCTAGAACTTTAAGATTAGTTTATAATGCGTAAGTCATCAATCCTACCTACTCTCTCCGAAATCGACTTCATCGCTCAATTCACTCATTCTCCATTCTTGGTCTCATCTTGGAAACTCTCTTTACAGTTCCGTCATCATCTTGGATTATAAAATCAATTTCAATCCTCAAAACGATTCAACTGCGCTTCATGCTAGAGTCTCAAATCGAATGGCACGTACCTGTACCAAGAATGCTGGCTTATACATCAAATTAGGACAATCCTTAGCCATCCAAGCGGCTGTTTTACCACCACCTTACAAAGTGGCCTTTGAATCTATGTTTGATGCTTCTGAACCTATCTCACTTCAAGATGTTCAAGATGTTTGGAATCATGAATTTAGTGAACCGATTGAAGATGTGTTTGATGAATTTAGTCATTCACCAATTGCTTGTGGTTCGATTGGTCAAGTTCATAAAGCTAAACTTAAATCGACTGGTGAAAGTGTGGCTGTAAAGATTCAAAGACCTGCAATACCCATTCAACTCGAATTGTAGGTCTTTAAGTCTCATCTGCAAGTCAGAATCATAACGTTCAACTCAAGTCTGGATCCAATTGGAATCCTGATCATTAGATATCTATGCTAATGAACAATTATCCTTTCTCAGTGATCTCTTTGCATATAAATCACTTCTCTATGTGTGTGAAAAATCTTTCGGGATTCCAATTTATTTCGTTGCAAAATGTAAGGCTCTTCATAATTTTTAGAAATCATTTGATTCTTAATTTTGACTAATCAAAAGATCTTTTGACGTTTTATAGATGTTGCCGATCAGATGCGTCATGAAACAGATTTTGTTAGGGAAGCCAAAAACTCTGAAAGAACAGCTAAATGTTTTGAATCTGATCCTACACTCAAGAACAGGATCCTAGTACCGTTTGTACATTCTCTCTTTGGTAATCTTGACAGATCGACTTGAGCTGATATCCATGATTTTTATCTTTGAATGGGTCTTCAGAAAAGTCAATTGGGATCTAACCACCAAACGTGTACTTACCACTGAGTTTATTGAAGGAGGATGTAGATTAACAGAAGAAGACAAATTCAAAAAGGATACTATAGATAAAAAGAGTGTGATGGATTTAGCCATGAAAATGTTTAGTTCAATGTTATTTAAATTTGGTTGGTTACATTGTGATTTACATCCTGGAAATGTCTTGGTAGTTAAGCGAGATGGAAAGATGAAACTGGTGAGAATTTTTTTATTTATTAAGTCAAATCATGCGTTTTGAATTTAATGGTTTCTTGGAATACATAAGGCTTTGATCGATCATGGACTTTATATTCAACTACCAGATAAATTTCGAGCTGAATATTGGTATGATGATAATCATTTTCAAAACCATACCCAAACTTACACACTAAACCTATATTATCTTAATTCGATTGCAATTAGTGAGCTTTGGCGGAGTATCTTTGTTTTAGATACAGGTTCAATTCAAAGAATCGCTAGCGGTTGGGGGTCAGTTTCACATTCTCAATCTCATTTCTGTCCGGTTGTACTGAGCTACTTGGCTTATATTCAACTGTTACGCTTTTCTTAGGATTGCAAATAGTGAATTATTTGGTGTGTTGATCGAATTCACTACATCATCACCTATTCAACTTGCTTCACGAACCTTTGGAGCATAGTCCTTGCATCTTGGTTACCTGCGCATGATCTGCTAGTGACCAATTGGTTTGCTTCATCAGTCCGAAACCACAATTGATTGAAGACGGACCTAGTTCTTGTCTGTCCGGATCATCATGGTAGATCCAAAGACGCTTACCAAAATCTGACTCGTGTATGGTGTTTGTAGCATCTGCGACTTTACTTAGTCCTTTCAAGTCTGGTAAAAAATCTGGATCTTTGAAGGAAGGAACACCAGCCAACGCACCGTTGACATCATACGAGAGTGGGTTAATTGATTTATTATCTTTCTGATTTGGTGGTGTAACTTATCAGGTGATCTTATCTGACCGATTTATAGAGGATTTGAAGATTAAAGATACACTTGTGGGAATGTTAGAAAATCAAAAGATGATTCCGAATGTTAGTTATTTCCCATTCAACATCTTGAACGGTTTGAATGATGATTAATGTGGCTTTTTTTTGGATTAGGAGTTAATTTTTATTATTCGATGTATGAGGATGATGCAAGGTAACAATCAAGTCCTAGGAAGTCCATCAAATCGGATCAATATCTTGGCACGTAAGTTGATATGGTTTGATCCCAATTTTGATTGATGGAAAACACTTGATAACTTTTTTTCTTGGTTGATGGTTTTGGATAGATGGAGCTGCATCTGGAATGAATGCTTATAAGGTTTTGTCTTATAGTGATGGAAGTTTTAAGGAAGTTACCAAGGATTGGATTAAACATCTTGCAAGGGTTTGGACGTTTCAAATCACATTAGTCTTTGTTGATTTAGGATTTCTTTTGACAAGAGTTTGTGGATTTCACAATTTTTGGCTCTGAAATCAAATTTAAAAGAGGTTTTTTTTGATTGATTGATTTACTTGATTTTTTTTCCATCAGATACGACAATGGTGGTTAAGAGATGTTAGAGGAAAAAGAAAACGTGAAGGGTTTGAAGATTTGTTACAGAGGAAAATTGAGATTTTGGCCAAAGAAGAATTTGGAATCACGTTAGATGATAAAGCTTTTATGGGTTAAAGAAAGAATGATGATGATAGAGTTTTGAATAGATGGGTTACTTTAGAAGTGGTTTTTTTAATTTATTTCTATTTTTTTTCAACAGTTTGTAAATCATAGAAAGGTTTTTCGATTGATTGGTGTAATATTTTCTGGGTTGAGAGTTTACTTGGCATATTAGAGGTTATATGCAATGAGATTGTAGTTTGAAGATTGATGATTTTGTGCAAAGGATAAAATGATTGAAATGTTAGAGATCAAAGTTACTGGGTGTGATGTCTGAACTTTGAAAGCTCTCGTATGATTTTCAAAATTGAGAGTCATCTCAAGTCCGCTAAGTCTCGAGACCGTACCTGGATGAGGATTGAAGATGATTTCTCACCAAACAAATTGAATGCTTTCTCTCTTGATTGATTTTCATCATGATAGGTTTGATGATCAAGAAAGATTCAAGATTCGATCAAAGGTGTGTTTCCTGTGAAAGAGTGTGACAAATAAACATATTGCTTGGCATCATCTTCTCATACTCTTGATGCTGTGAATCTGATGACCGGATTACCTTGAGCCAAAAAGTCTTGGCTATTGGGGTTTCCTCGTTTGATGACGATTCACAGCAAGGATTGATTTAAGTTTGATCAACTTTAGGGAATCGCTGGCTGTTTGGGTAAGGTCTGTGCCTTGTTTTTGGTTAAGTGAAGAATATAAAAGGTGATGGGTTTGATGAGAATTTGAACATTCATCCTTTATCATTTACTTCATAATCAATCTACTATATTCGAACCTTTGCATTGACATGATCAGGTACATTCATAAATACCATCTTATGTTTATTGAAACCCGTTCAGGTCATTGACTTTTACTTTGCTTTGATTTTCTTATGCGGTTTTGCGTTTTGATCTTTTCGTAGTTAGGATCTCTTTGCTTCAAATACAAATACCTGTCTTCAGCTACCCTTTTCGTTTGTGATTCTAAAGAGGTATGATCTTATTTTTGACCAAAAGCAAACACTTTCAACGCGTTTACCCTCACACTGACGTCACCAATGGATTGATTTTTGATGGAACGTGTTTTATCTAACAGAACATCAACCTTTTGAACTAGGTTTTTAAGAAATCAAAGATTGATCAAATTCAAACTCATTCAAGATGGTAAGCTAATCATCTCAAATCATCTCAACCTCATCCCAAACCAAACTTCTAACAATTACAAACCTCTTCCAGTTACTCTCAACCCCAACCTACATTTTCATCAACCTAACCATCCTAACCTTCATATCAAACATATCCCAAACCCGATCCCAAACCCCAGGTTACGCAGTAGTCTGTTGTGATAACGTCAATAACATCTGTGGTGGTAATATAGAAGATTTAAAGTGTCAAGAAGAAAACTCTAATAAGACGTTTCCATATACTTGTGAAGTTGATGAAAGTAAACCAAAGTGTTTGAACGGAGGAAATCTTGATCAGACTGTTTGTGTGAATTTCGGTCAACTTACTTGTAAGCTTATTAGGAAGTGATTAATTACTTTCAAGTTTCAAGACGTCCTTTTTTGATCTTTTACATGTGGATGAGAAGGTGGATTTTGAAGATGGTTTTGATGCGATCTGAGTTGTGATTTGTGCAATTGATTTGTTTTTTTTGCTTATTTATCATGTCTCTTCTGATTTTGTAATCTTGTGAAATTCAATGAGATCTTTGGTATATCACTCACAATTACATCATGAGCACTGTGCCGCTGAGTCTGACGCATACCAAGACATGAAAATATTCAGCATATACATATATCTCCAGAAGAATGTCAAGAAGTACATCTTATTGAACTTCAATTGTTGAGGCACCCGAAATCCATTCTCGATAAGCCCAAAACATTCAAGCAAATGTCTTTCTACCTGGCGGTACAGGACGGTACAGGTGCTTGAAGTAGGCTGTGATTACTCAAGTCTGAGCATATGAAGCAAAGATCTGACCTATGAGAGTCCACGCATTCCACTCAGCGCTACGTTTGTTTCTTGATTCTGAACTCAAACGTCAAAACCGCTTCTTTTTGTGCACCAGACAAGCACAGTTTTTACTGATACGTGGTAAGTTTAGTAGTCCGATTTTCAAGTAGGCTGAGTGAGCCCCAATCGTGAGATGCACAACTATAATTTTCCTTAATTATTCGAGATGTTTGATTGGCTGAGGTTGTACCTACATCAAAGAAATCAGCAAGAATACGAGTCCGACCAACAAGAAAAGAAATCACGACCCAAGACACAATAAGCGAATCCAATCAATATAATTTGGTCTCATGATGGTATCATCTAAACCTTTACATTCAGAAATATCTTCAACTTTAATGCCAACTTCCACTGATCATGCCAAGTTATCATCTATGCCAATCGAGACCGAAAGAATTATCGTTTATTTGGTTCATCTTCCTTCAAACCCAGACAAGTTATCAAGACCAACAGACCGATATCATTGGTAAGGGTGGTAATGAAAACCAGTTTACATCTAATCTATCTCTAATAATCATCAAACTCGAGCTGCACATCAAAAAAAGTTTCAAAAACAAATCGAAAGTGAGTTCTTACTTACTTAATTCCAAGGCTTCTTCCGAGTTCCAGGCGATAAGTATTGATGTTGAAATGTAATTATATAATGCTGAGAATCCCAAGTATTCTTGGTCTTCTACTTGTCTTCCTTTGGATGATAATCGTGCTCTGGCAGAAGTCGAATGTTCGTTCTGGAAAATATGTTGGTCTTATCTCTACGAAGTTTGGAAAGAGTTGATTGTTAACCGATTTATTGAATCAAAGAAAATTATACTGAAGTTATCCGATCCAAAGAAAGAAAAGTGAGAATTGGTGGATTCATTGTTGAAATCATATATGATAATCGTGATCATAGCCTTAGAGGATCAATCAACGTGTCTTTTCGAATTTATCGTTTGATCTTTTGTTGAGGAGATTGATAACAAAAAGCTTGACTTGATATGATCTTAGAGATTGTTCAAGTGAGGATGTTTCAATTCCGAGTTGAAAATCAATTCCAAGTTAGTAAAGATCACATTGATATCTCTAAATGAATATCTTCTGTTTTGTACAAGGATATCGAACGTAGAATCCATAAAAGTGTGTGATCATCAAGAAGTCTTCAAAGCATCCGATCTACGTCAAAAGTGAGACGAGTATGTTCATTTTATGGGAAACAAAAGTAACATATGGGTTTACAAAGGAATTCCCACCCAACTCCACTTCATGATCGTTCAAACTTCAATCGCGATTCTGATCAACTCGAACCAACCAAATCAAGTGAAAAACCAAATTCAACCATTCGAAAAAAAAAATGATCACTCCAACCCCCACGACGAGCAAGACTCAAGACCCTCAAACTTATTCGTCTGCTTCACCATCACCTACATTATACGTTCAAAACTTATGTGATAAGTTAAAAAAAGAAGGTGAATTTCAACAAACCCCCCAAAAAACAAATAAAGGAAGATATTAAAGGGAGAATCATTGATGTGGTTTTGAGATGATGATTTAGATTTACGTAGGATGTTGTACCAGTTGTTTTCAGTTCATGGAAAAGTCTTAGATGTAGTGGCTCTTAAAGGAGGTCAGATGCGTGGTCAAGCTTTTATTGTGTTCAGGTTCGTAACTTTTTCCTTTGATTCTTTCGCGTTTTCTTTTAAACAAAAACTTGATCAAGTTTAAGAGATTGAAAGGTTTGGGATTGGGTTGGTTTTTTTTTTGTAGGGATCTTCAAGGGTCTACTCAGGCTATGAGGTATTTGGATGGAACTTTATTTTTGGAACGAGAACTTGTAAGTTTACAAGCCTTTTCTTCAAAGAATCATTACCAAAACCCCCCAGAAAAGAAACTAAAAGGGTTGAATTGAATGATTTTTTTGATATGATTTTTTTTTTTTTTTGGGAAATATAGAAAATCAAATATGCTCGTAAACGATCGTTTGCGACTGTTAAACAGATTGCAGGAGATGAAGTTTTATATCAAGTAAGATTAGGTTTAATTGATCCTGAAACCCTTCAAGACGTAGCACGAAGTAAACTAACAGTTAGTGGAGCTCAAGCTGCAAATGTAAGTTGTTTTTTCAAATCGAATCAATCAAACAGAACCCAAACCTTTCACCACTTTGTTTACGTGTGTTTTTTATGGGGTTGGATTGGATTTGGGTTTTAGATGGATAAAAAGAAATCAGAAGAAGCTAATGTTAGGAAAAGGTTAAGAGAGAATGGGATGGGTAGTGAGAATGAAGAAGAGGAAGAAGAAGAAGATCAAGAAGAAGAAACGAATCCAGAACAAAAAACTTCTCGTGGAACGAATTCGGTGAAGAAATCCAAGAATCATCATCCAGGAGACGAAGATGATGGTAAGCAGAATCAACTCTGAATTTTCGAAAGCGGATGAGATTGAATTGTGATTTGGTTTGTATTGTTTAGAAGAAGCAATGGAAGAAGATTCAGATTCAGAACAACCAGCAGATTCAGCAGCAGCAGCAGCTGTCAAAGCAGCAGGATCCGCACCCGTCTTATCAGGAGAAGACCCGAATCCAGTTTTATTTTTGGAAGGTTTACCAGCCGAAGTAACAGATGATATGATGGCAGTTTTATTTCAACAGTAAGAGTTTTTTCAATAATAAAAATTTGAGATCAGATGAAGGGAGTTGATTGGTTTGAGTGTTTGATGGTTTAGATATCCAGGATTTCAAAGTGTAAGATTAGTACCGGGTCGAACTGGGATTGGGTTTGTTCAGTATGATACTTCTACTCAGAGTGATATGGCTAAGACTGCATTAGATGGATTTCAACTTGCACCTGGAGTGATGATGAAAGTAGGATTTGCACGTCGAGGTTAAATGAATTGATGTACTTTTTTTGAATGATTGAATGTTAAAGTGAATGAGATTGTTGATGGAATATGATTTGAGTGATGAGTTAGTTGAGATTTGATTGATGAATGAAGAATGAAATTGATAGAATCTGAGATGATCAGTAGTAGTGATGAATGGCAATCTTGTTGTTGTTGTACATCTACTGCGGAGTGGAGAGAGAGTGTGTGTTGTGTTGAAAGTGCTGTGAATGGATAAAAGACTTTTCGAAATAAAATGAGTTGATAGCATCACTCTTGTCCTTGTTCGCATCGAATCCGATCGAATCCACTTCAAAAGAATGACTGGATTGATGAAAAGACAAGATGAAGAGTCTACAAATCAGTTTATAGGTCAGTCTATCAACTTCATCTTATCCATATCATGATCTTTTGAATTTTAATCTTCATCTTTCTTCTAATCTCATTCATTCATCATTTCATCATTCATTCATCTTATTATTCATTCTGTTTTGGTTCTTGTTAGTGATTTCTGATTTGATTGAGTTCCATGAAGCAAAGTAGATCAAACTGATTGAAACTGTTTGATGAATTGATTTCTAAAAATAGATTTCAATCAATCTTCAATTCTCATCAATCCATCATCAACTACTCAACTATCATCATCAACTTCAACTCAACTATCAACTTCATTTTCAATACCATTCTCAACTTCAATCTCAACTTCATCAATACCATCTTCAATACCATCTTCAACTTTCATTTCAACTTCAATACCATCTTCAACTTTAGATTTACCAACCAATGATCCTACTTCATTCTTTCCTACTTCAACTTCAATCAATCCAATCCCTACTTCATCTTCAATTCCATTCTCATTTCCTACCATCACTTCAACTTTCATTCCGATCCCTACTACAGCAACTTCAATCATACCTACTTTAACTCTATCTTCAAACTTCAACTTCAGCTCCATCTCCATCTTCAACTTCAATCGAATCAACTACTTTAATCGAAAGTTCAACTTCAATCACTGTCACCTCAACTTCAATCAGGTTAACTACCCAACTTTCAACTTTCACCAGTACTCAAACTATCACCACCAACTTGATCTTCACTCAAATCCTTTCATCCGTCTCTCATATCTTATCATCTCAAGCTGATGGTAGTATTCAAACTATCACCACTCTAGTACCTTTTACTCAACTCACTTCATTCTCAACCGTACTTTTGAAACCCACTCAAGTGACGAATCCTAATTTAAATGCATCCAATTCAAATTCATCAAACCATTGGCTTTCAAACACAGGTGCATTAGTGGGAGTTATCTTGGGAATCGGAGCGGCTTTGGTCATTGCGATTGGAACTTGTGGGTTCTTTGTTTTGAAAAGGAAACGTTCCAGAGATCAACAAAGGGAATTTGAAGATGATCTACAGATGGGTTCTGATTTTGGTGATCATGGATTATATCATGATGATACACTCTTAGATCTTGATCATCATCATCATCATCATCATGAATCGAATGGTTTGACTGCTCATCCAGATCATCAAACAGGTGGTTTACATTCAGCTGCTTCTGATCGATTCTTGATCAGTCCTATTCAAGATCTCAAATCACATAATGAAAAGTTTTGGAGTTTGAACCGTCATCATCAAGATCGAAGAACAGAAGACCAAAGAGAACCTATTCTTGCTCATTCACCTTCTTATTCGATCCCATCTTTCGGATCTGATCAAGCTCATGCTAACACACTACCTTACCAACCTGGTCCAACTTGGCCAGACTCCAGTACGAATCCTGTACCCGCTTTACATGTCTTGAATGGGTATAATCATCATCTGGGTCCTAATTCTAATACGAATTTTAATACGATGCCTTTATCTTTATCTGCAAGAGGAAGTAATCCATCACCTCGCTCTTTATTAAATAATTATCCATCATCTTCTGAGAATTCAGATCATCACCAAGAAATGAATGCAATAGATCCGATCTTATTGAATTTAGATTCACCAAACCGGATCCCAGAAAACGAGACGCATGGCTTATCTTTCAATGAAGACAGATCACCCACACCTAGACCTAACCTAAACATTTTACAAGGGTACCAACACCATTCTAATTTGAGCAATCTAGAACCAAGACATGATTCTTTGATCGAGAGTGAAGAATTGAACGGTGCACAGAGAAGAGCTCAGGTTGATTCACAGTTCAGTTTTCATCAGGGTCATCGGGATACAATGACCACAGAAGAATGGAACACGTATGTCTCACAATTTGGTGCAAGAGCCAGGTATGTGAAATCTTGATTCTTTTGTCTTTGTTTAGAAAATTGATGAGTTTCTTTTGGCTGGGTTAGTTCGATGGATGGATCTAATGAAGTTCATTCACCATTCTTTTCTGAAGAAAGTAATGGTACGAAAGAAGAAGAAGAAGAAGAAGAAAGTCATAGGTTAAGGAATTTTGATGGGTTTGATGTGGATGGGTTTGATGATCGGTTGGATCGGAATGTTTTGGGTGGATCTGGTCTGGGGAATGATCAACTTGATGAACTTAGTTTAAGGGATGAAACTGATTATAGGTGAGTGACTTTTTTGAATTTATAAGCACATGAAATGTACCTTTTGGGACAGTTTGATTGAATTTCTCGGGGGGTTCTTTAGTCGTAGGATTTTGACGGTTAGTAATCCTGATGATCAAGATTGATGGACCAAGTATTTTGTTTTTTTCTTTGAATCTTTTATTGATGGATCAGTAAGGAAATCTTTCAAGTTAGATTTTCAATTCTTTTAGTCTGATCATCTTTTTTTCCTTTTCTCTTAAAATTCTTTGATCGTTTTTATCTTACTCTTACGCTTTTATTTAATTCTTTTTTTGTTTGATTTATTTCTTTTTTGGGGGTGGTTTGTTTATCTTCTTTGGGGGTGGTTTTGGTTTCTTTAACTTGGTTTGCTTTTTTTGCTTTTGTATGTATCAGTTTATATGAGATTATATGGTAATTTGAATCGAGTATTGTAGAATGTAATTAATTTATGAATTGGTTTGATTGGTTGGTGGTTTACATGATAATAAAATAATGGTTGTAAGATGATTTTTAATAAGATACATGATGATTTTTAATAAGATATTTGATGATATTGTTTGAAGTGATATTTAGTAGAGTGAGAAGTTGAATGAAGTTGAGTTGAGTATCATGTAAAGTGAATGATGACGTCAAGAAGAACTTTAATTGAGTTTTGATTTGAATTCTGAAATCTTCTTAAAGTTTACCACTCAACCACTTCAACTCATCATTCTCAAATCCAATCAAAACCAATCCACCATCATGACTCAAGATAATAATTCAAGTTCCAATCGGTAAGTCTTCATTCAAAGAGTCATTCATCAATCAATCACTAATCAAACCATTTCGATTTCAAAGTAATCCTATCGATCTAAACTCTTTATCTAATTATTTACAATCTAATCTCACTGAAATCAATCTACCTATTTCAATTCATCAATTCGATTATGGTCAAAGGTATTTAACTATCCAAGTTTAATACATTCAATCGAATCGAAGCTGAATCTAATCCAACTTCTTTCTTTATCAACAGTAATCCAACTTATTATATTATAGATCAATCTAAGAAAAAGTATGTTTTGCGAAAAAAACCACCCGGTGAATTATTATCACAAACAGCTCATGCGATCGAACGAGAATACAAGATATTATCAGTTTTACCACAACCATTTCCATCACCTAAAGTATATTCATTATGTTTAGATTCATCAATCATTGGAACACCATTTTATTTAATGGAATTTATTGAAGGACGAATCTTTCATCAAGTTGATTTACCCGGTATTCAAAACCCAATCGAACGAAAAAAAATCTTTCTTTCAGGTATTGAAACTTTGGCTAAATTACATTCGATTGATTTTTATCAGATTGGATTGGAAAAGTTTGGATCAATGGAAAATTTTTATCCTAGACAAATTAAATCTTTGAGTAAGATTAGTCAACTTCAGTCTAAGGTTATCAATCAAAAAACTGGTCAATATGTGGGTGAGATTGATCGGATTGAGCTTTTGTTGGATTGGTATCAAGTTAAAAAACCTAAACATCAGATTACTATTGTACATGGTGATTTTAAATTAGATAATTTAGTAAGTGGTTTTGAAATGAATAAACATAAAATGGGGTTTTGGATTCGATTTCTTAACTTGGTTTATGAATTTCTTTTTCCGTAGGTTTTTCATCCCACTGAACCTAGAGTAATATCTATTTTAGATTGGGAACTTTCAACTCTTGTAAGACTTGCCAATTCTTATGATTTCGAAGTTTGACTTGACGATTTCTTAAACTTTTCTTTTGCTCTATTTTTCTATTTTTCTCTCGTTTTAGGGACATCCTTATTCAGATTTAGCTAATTTTATTCAACCTTGGTATATGCCTGCTTCATATGGTCAATCTCATATTGCTATTGGATTTCGGTTCGTGTGTTTCATCTTTCATGTTAAATCCAAAACAAAAAGATTTAAAAGAAGGTGTTGATTTCTCTTTTCGGTTTCGGATGAAAAAAATTAGTGATTTACCATTTGAAGAATTACCGATTCCATTAACTGCAGAAGATTTGGTTAAAGAGTATTGTAAATCGATGAAAGTTGAATATCCATTACCGAATTGGGATGCAGCAGTTTCATTTTCATTCTTTAGAGTAAGTCTTTTCTTAAAAAAATCATTTTCATCTACAATTTTAAAACCTTTGAATTTAATAATAATGTTGTATATTGGATTAATGAATCTTGATTAGCTTGCAGTGATCTTACAAGGAATTGCAGCTAGATCGGCAAAAGGTCAAGCTAGTTCTGCTCAAGCTGAAAATCATGCAAATATGTTTCAAACCATTGCTACTTGGGCTGTTCAAACGATTGAAAGATCTGAATTGAAGAATAGTAAACTTTAAGCTGCTGCTGGTGATGGTGATGTTGATCGAATCTTTAGTGATTTTTTCATTCTTTTTATTTAGTTGTTTGGGTATTCTTTTCATGAATGTAAAAGGATGAGATGTTTGTTCGGTTGGTAAAGGTATTGTAAGAATGTGTAATGATGAACTCTTCGGGTTTCGGTTTGTAAGGTTTAGATGTTTTTTTATCGTTTTTATAAGCTCGTGTTCTACTATCATGTTAAATTTATGAATATGTTTTACTGTACAACAACTGTTCCAAAACCTTTTTCTCTTTCTTTCTATCTCACTGATTCTCAACGTTATGCATTGTAGACATCTTAATTTTTTCAATACATTTATGAATTCGTGATTAAGCTTTTTTTGTCGTTGATTATGGGTTTGGATTTTTTAAGTCAATGTCATATGATTTACTTCATGAATTGGGCTTGAGAGATAATTGTACTTGAGGTTTTGTATGTTTGGATTGATAGGATTCTCAGTTGAAGTTTAGCTGAAAGAAATGAATGAGGTTATCAGTTATCATGAATTGGATGTTGGATTTCTAACCTGGAGTGGTATTTGCAAGGCCCCAAGAAAAAAGAAAATATGTTTGACACGAGATCTGACGCCGACAAGGTTCAAGATTTTTTGGCAGGGAGATACTTACCACGCACAACATGAAACTCGCCACTTTAGGGCAAGCAATGTTGTCAAGCTTTTTCAAGAAAAAACTTGTATTAATGAAGAATGTCACTCTATGATCATGATGACTTGATGAATTTGATGACATGAGTCATAATACCATATATGCTATGACTGGTCTTCACTCCTTTAGAAGGTGCTTCCATCTGGGATATATGGGTTCCTCAACCACTTCAAATCTCCTGAACAGATCTCAATATGCTGCAGCTTGTCCTTGGTGAGCATTAACCGGTATCTCATCTCATTGACATGTTGGAATTTCTATGATAATCCTCTTCACTCTCATAAATCCAATCACATATGTAAAAAGGAACATCAATAGAATAGTTCATATCGAAGATCCACTTCCATAGCCAACCTCCCACTGAAATTAATCCAATATTTAACCCATCAGTATTCTCATTTACACACCTTCCCTATGAAAAGTCTAACTTCATAATAATTTTACGACGTAGTTATATACTTTCAATTAAATGAAACACCATTGAAAGTCTTTACAAGTCTTAATAAATCTTGCTACTCATATGATGTGAAAAAAAATCAATTACATATTTTACATATGAAATTAGAGAACAATGAGTAAAATTACAAGTAACAAATCAGGATTGTTGAAAATGTGCTAAATCTGACTATTTTTTTCATCTCATCATGCTTCTTCTTCGTTTCAATTCTACTCATGTTTATACTAAATTGAGTCTAGCTAGCTATGATCGGGTTGTTGAATTGTGTATGGAGGTAATTGATCAAATTGTTGGCTGTACACTCAAACATCAAAGGTCAATGTGATCCCACTGTCAATCTTCATCCTCAAAGGGCTGTATATGCAAGAAAGTTAGGAATTAATATCTGTCATCAATCTCGTGCGCGTGACATATAAAATCGAATCCTTCAACTAACATTTCGAGTGTACTCCAGTGATTCTTCATCTTCATCCCTTGTACGCTGAGCACTCGTGAGAGGTTTGTTAGGTATGAGAGTGTTAGTGTTACCGATAGCTGTACCAGTGGCAACTTGTTTCGACTTTGAGGATGCATCTTTCAGATACGATGGTCACCAAAAGTACACATAAGCAAACCAATGGTTGTATTCCGACCAAAGAGATCGATGTACGCACCATGCACATTCATCATCTCATCACCGCGCTTCGGTTCCACTGTCGGTGTCGAGGTCCGTGGAAGCGATGGGTTGTTGGTGACACTACCTGTGGCTGTGTCTGCCGGGGTTCGTGTAGGGGGTGCAGAGTCGTAACGAGATGCATAAGGTAATGCTGGCGAGATCCTGCTTGATCTGTTAGATGTTTCAATTAGCTTTCAAATTCCGTGATCATTCAGTGACGATGGAAAAAAAACTGACCTTTTAGGATTAGATGGAGAAGTACCATACTCTGCACCACTAATAACGATTGCAGGTTGAGATGCTTGATATTCATTTTCATGACTTGTCGGATCACTTGGAAGATCAGCTGAAGGTTGTTGTAATTCTTGAATTTTAGCTTTAGCCTTATTAAGCCATGTAGACACGGTTTTCTTTCCAGCTTAAGATACTAACGTTCATGAGTTTTGACCTAAAAGAAAATATAAATTAAGAAGAATGAAGATCACTTACTTTCTGCCATTCTACTAAACTCGTCTGCAATCTTTTGGATTTCATCTTTTCCTGTTAGATTGGATGAAGATTGACCAGTTTCACCGTTAGATGGGTTCTCTGTTCTTTGTTCGTAAGTTGACATCGGACTACGGTTTGATGGGTTTTTCTTGATTCTGGGTTGATAAGGTACATTGATTTGAGGTATAGGTTGTGGTGTAGGAATACTTTGTTGTTCTTCCTCTCGAGCAAGTTGTCGGGCTAAAGCTTCATCCGATTTCATAAGATCCTATTATAATAGAGATCAGTGATTGGAAAAAACATGAAAAAGGTTGGAGAATTGCAGTCACCTCAGCTGTGGGTTTCCAAGTTGGATCATTCATGGCCAAGAGATCAGATACACATTCTCCTGGATCATTCTGGTGTGCGGCTAGAACAGCTTCTAGAATTGCTTGTGGGATTTGAGGAAACATGATGGCCAATTCGCGAACTTCTGCTGAGGCATTCGTCAGTTCATTCGGAGGTTGTGATGATGGAGGTTCAGGTTCGGCTGGTGGTACTGTTGGCGCAAGGGTAGAGCTCGATGGACTTGTAGTAGATGTATCGGATACATCTAGTTTCGATACGCTTTCGTCTTGTGAAGGCTCTTGTTTTTGATCTGTACCAGTCGAGACCGGGTTATCTGGGTTCTTCTGTTCAGGATCCTCCCTTACTGTCGAGTGGCTATCTGATGAGTTTGAGCTTGAGTCTACGTTGTAGGGAACAACTGGAGAAGAAACTGCGGCGGCGTCTGTGTCTGAATGTGTTTTAGTTTCCATATTGAAATATTTAGAGGACGGTGATTTAGAGAAATGTATAAAGTGCAAGTGAAGTTTTCGAGTGATCGAGAGTGGTGGAACTTGGAAGGAGACGTTGGCGGCGGTGAACCTTGAAGCTTGACACTTGTTAAGGTCTACTTAAAATTTATGTACATAAGCGGTCTAAGTCTGTCTATGTACGTCACGATCCCCATTAATATCTAGATGCGGTACCGGATGTTTGATTGTTTCTGAATACAAACCAGCCTGGTGAATTTCAATGATGTATCCGAAAGTCTATGACCATATGTGCAAGAGTAGAGTGGCAGACATCCAGTTGTTCTGGGTTGAAAGAGTCCTCAAGAAAAATGGCACATGGATAAGTCTTAAACTTTGAAGTTGTGTTATGAATTTGCCATATGTAATTCGAGGTGCAAATCAGGATTCCAATGGTAAACAACCAGTCAAGTCATCAATCTATTGCACATTATATAGCAAGCAGTGATTTCGAAGTCTTTTCCAATACCCATCAAAACTCAAATACGCTCTTTCATTTCAAATATCAACACAAAAAGTAAGTTATACATAGATACAAGCAAGTTGCAAAAATCCAACGGTAAAAATGAGAACAACAATAATGACATCAACAGTGACATCATTAAAATACAAAATGATATCTGTTACATTGACAAGATATATGGAAACTAGCTCTTAATGAAATATGATAAAAAAAGTGATCAACAGGTGGTCCAAATCATACACTCAAAAAATTGAAATATCCTCAGTACCAAGAACCGTTTGGGGGTCCCGGCATCAACTAAAGCCACCCGAAAATTATAAACAAATGAGATCAGTGATCATTCTCTGGCCAGTATAAAGTAAAGAAATAATCACTTACACTCATTGTGAAAGACAAAAGCACTTCACCGCCATGTTCCCATAATCCTTCTCCTACTTCGGCATAACATCTACTAAACTCTGGTTCGTGTACAATTTCATGCTAGATCCATACAATCAGGATATGTCAGCAACAGACAACAGCACGCAAAGAGGCAGCACATCTTACATAATGAGCCAGACAGTACGCCTGTTGAGTGACGAACATATAGATTGGTTGTCAAAGTTGATCAACAAGAAAAATGTCACGTTATCAGATGAAACCCTCTAAGCCGGTACAAATGCGGAATGAAACTCAAAGTGAACTCACCTTGATCTCAGTATGAAGTTCAGGAAACACAAAACTAGCCAATAAGAGAGGAAAAGCAGTGCTAGGCGTCAAATTGGCGACCAAATGGGTCATCGCAAGCTCTTGTAAGTTGGTCAATTCATAACGATGAGCGAGTCTGTAAATCGAGAGCGCTGATGCTGTGTCCAGGGGTAGAGTGTCATCAACTAGAGTAACACAAAACCTGGTCAGACGAGAAAGCACAAACCCTTGCTTGGAACTGCGACTGGATGTGAATGGGGCTCCCCAATCAACCAGGCACCGTCGGATGACGGCGGTACAGTAACTTCGGTAGATCGTGATCGGCTGGACGGATCAGCATTTGGATTGGTATGATGAGTTGAACGGCTAAAGCTACCAGAGCTAGCACGAGACGCTCCAACGGCATCCCGAGAGCTTGGTGCGCGAGTGCCTGATGAGCCAGCGGAGCGGTTGTGGAGCCCATGAGACGGACTTTGAGGTACGAGAGGGGAAAGTGGTCCAGGGAAGCCAGTAGTCGTACTGGTTGTCCGGCGCTTGCCTGCTGAGCTTGCGCTAGCCGTAGTGGAGCCACCACGCGGACGGCCGCGACCAGAAGCGGATGCAGCAGTCGAAGACGCAATTGCAACCCGTGGGGTTCCATGGACTGATGAGTTGATTCCACTTTCGCTCACCGTCTCAAGCAAGTCATCAGACGTGATACTTTCGGCAGTGGTCTCTGCCTCAGCCACGGAATGTTCACCCTCGTCGGCTTCCCCGTAGGTACGCCAGTTCCAAGAGTGTGGTAACATATCATCCGAGGAGGGATAAGCAGCTTGGGTGAGACTCGAGCCAAGAAAGCATTCAGTCCGAACATCTTCCTGATCTACAAAAAAGATACGATTTGAATAAAGCCAGCGCAAAAGCTATGTAACAGACATAAGAAGGCATGGCAATCAGCTCGATATTACTCTGATTGAGAAACATCTTGAATTAGAAAACAAGCAGACAAACCCAGTAAACGCAATTGAAGTCAAAGTCTTCAATTTTGACCAATCCCAACTTCCGATTCTCGCCTCTACTAGTACCACCTTCTGCCCATCCACCTTGTTCATCGTCTCCGAGCATAGCACGGAAATATTCCGATCGGCTCTTGAGAATCGCCGAATGTGCATAGAGAACTCGTTTACGATGTCTTGGAGGAACTGGATGATCCGAAGACGTCAAGGACAAAGATGGATCATATTCGGTGACCAATATTTGGAGATCAGATGTGTTTTGATCATCAACCAGAGATTCCAGCCCTTGTAACAACGTGCTATGTCAAGCAAAAAAACGAAGAATATTAGCAAAAGGATATAAGATAGAGCGCAGATGAGTAGGACTCCGACTGAACTGAGGAATGTAACTCGAGTTGGGGATTTGAGGTAGTGAGACTGTCGAAGGCGTGGCGATTTGGATGGTGATGATGAATGAGTCATACATTGCGACTCGTGGATTTTCCAATATTTTAGACAGGGAAGGAAAAGTATGGCACTCTGTAGTCGGACAGCAAAAACAAAAATCGGAGGTCAGTCATGAAGCTTAAGATCATGAATATGAGAGTCAAGATAATAGAACGTACCCCAAACTTCACTCTCCCGTTCAAAGCTACGCTCCTCACAGCAAACTCTCCATATCCATCCTTCACTGGCACTGCCGAGATCAGTGATCGGGTTGAGATTGACTGGGATCCTTGGCTCTTTGATAGAGACAATGATGGATGTGGAGATCGAACGAGAGGTAGGCCAATCCACTTCTAATTCGTGACATGTAAGATAAAGGGAAAGATCACCAGATGAAGGACTTGGGCTTGTAGCTGGGATTGAAGTGACATTCGCGAGACGGCTGGTAGGCGTGGTAGGCGCTGAGGGACGCCGACTATGACCTTTGATGACTTCAACTTTCCATTTGTTGCTCGCAAAACTACAGCTCACCACTTCTCCTGATCCAGCCACCTCATCCCCTACAGTGACCTCAGCAGTACTAGCATCGTGAGGAAGTTCAAGTTCAGAGTTAGGAAAGCCAACGTTTTCGATTTCATCTCTAAGAGCCTTGACATTGTGTACGGGAATATCGACACCCGTCCAGCCCCATTGGCGAGGCCATTCTTCGGTCCAGACATGAAAGTTCTTGTAAGGGACCGGTTGAGAGAGTTTAGAAGGACGAGAGCCGGGAGGGAGTGAGTTGAGGGCCGAAGGAAGAGCAGTCGATTGAGATTGTGATGATGATCGGCTATCGGGTCTATCAAACCAATCGGATTGCAATTGAAGGGACGGGTTCAAAAAGCTCGGTTGTTGAGGTTGAGGTACGAGTACAGGTTGGTGAGAAGGAGTCGAAAGTTGAGCAGCAGACTGACGAATTGACGATAAACGAGAAGCGGAAGTCGGTAATCGGTAAAGAGGATGACTTATCGGAGTATGAAGCCGAGTCGGAGACGCATGAGACCAGGAAGAACCAGATGGATGATTGAAGAGATTGTTACTACCAGAACTTAGGGTAGAATGGTGATGAGATAAAGGATGATAAGACTGATGAAGAGGATTTGGAGGAAATTGAAATGATCTACGAGATGAGGAAGAAGCAGTAGGAACTGAAGATGAAGGAGTTGAGGAAGAAGCCATTTGATGAGATAGAACTTGAAGCAGTCAATTGATGATACTTATATCATATATCTTGAGTGATCTTTGAAGAATTCTTTGCCAACGATATCAAGCGAGAATGACTGAAGATGAAAGGGTATGTACTAAAAGGAATTCAAAGTCAAAGCCAAAGACACTAGAAATATCAATCGAACGGTAATAAATTTAACAAAGCTCAAATGAAAGGCATCAAGTTCAATGATTTATGTAAAACATCTCGGCTGTAAATACAAACAAGTCTGATTTCAGCTCGATTGGTTTCCTTTCTTTATCAATCTTTTTTTCCTTGCAAAGATTACAAAGTTCAAGCAGTCGCTTTATAGATCACCAAAACCAATACAAATCCAATCAAACCACCTTGTCTAGTTTCTAGAATAGGTTTACTCTGTGTTCAAGCACTGTCATGACAAGAATACTTCATTCACCAATTCTGCGCACTTGATTGTACACTCAACATCAACTTTTACCTTGAAAGAGCCAAACCTGAGCAATCTATATGTTTGATTCTAGGATGAATCTTCTCTCAAGCAATTTTCATTATATTCAACTTGACTCTCAGAATGCGAGTATGTAGACTCTATTTCGAACCTTTCACTCTCAACTCACATTCATCACTACATAACCAGTTCATTAACCCTTCGACAAATTTTACAACACTTTATACCTCATCTTCTAGTTTGTTTAGTATTTCCTCCTAATGATTTAGGTCTAAGGTAAAACAAAGAGAAATTTAAACGAACCGAAAGAAACCTCAGATCGGCTAATGAATCAAAACCCAGTCCCAGAAAAAAATCAGTATCATCTCACTGTAAAACTCAAGAAAATAACTTACGATCAGGTTGAGCTGTAAGAGCTGAGATCAGATCTAAGACTAGCTCATTAAATAATTTAGCTTGAGCTGAGATTAATCGTCTGATTTCATCTAGTGCTGGAATCGATCCTTGAACTGGTGTCGAACGAGCCTGAAAATGGTTAAGAAGAGTTAAACAAAGTGGAAAAGAGCGGGTCTCAGGCATGAGCAGAAATAAAACATGGGTAGCTCACCGAGTTTCGAGTATCCGATTCGGAAGTGTCTGACAAGACATAAGCTTTCAAAGAATCCTACATAATCTTTCTATCAGTTTTCCCATCGATCCTCTACACAGGCAGACGGGAAAAAACTTACGATTGAAGCCTTGAAAGCCAAGATGACCTTGAAGCAGTCTTCAGCCAAAAGCAAGCATGAATTCTTTTCATCATCACAAAGCAGAATCAAAACATGCTCAGAAGTTTCCAAACAAATACCTAAGCTAAAACGAAAAGATTCACCTCTCTTCCAGCCTTTGGATTCAATAACATACCCTTACTGACTAATCTGTCCAAGTAAAGCCCATGAGCTTCTACAAGTGAATCTAAATCACCTCCTTCTAACATCACTCGTTTTTCAAATTCTTGCCATCCACATTCGATCACTTCAAGTTGAACATAACATTGAAGTTGTCGAATGAAATGAATCATTTCTGACATTACTAATCTTGCACGATGGAAATCGGACTTGTATCGATCTTTTTCCTCAATGTTGCAGAGCGAGAGCGTAGTCAAAATAAAAAAAAACAGAAAGAGAAGACGACGACACATGAGCAAAGAAAAATAGGTGGATGTAGAATGAAGACTAACCACTTTTGGAGCCTAACATTACCGCCTTCCAACCCCCATCCAGTGCATACTCGACCCTTTTCATCCTCCAAAGCATTCGGAAAGTTTTCATATAGCCTCCCATTGCTGCTGGACTCAAGACCACCTCCAAAGGACTTTGAGGCTTATATTCCAACATGAATACATCCCATCCTAAATCGAGAGGTGTGAACTCTAACATTCGAACATCTAATCGATTCATTAAAGCTTGATCGTCACTCGTAGCTCGGATAGCAGACTCGAGTGTTGCAGTAAGATTGTGTCGATAGAGTGAACTAGCAGGTTTATTCAAACTCGGACCTAAGCTTTCGATCAACAAACTGATAAAATCACCTCTACCTAGTAATAGGAAATCTTTCAAAGCTTTGAGGTGATCTAAAAGTTTGAGCTTGGTGAAGAAGATGTAGAATAATTCCTTTGAACAAATCTTGTAAGCTGACTTGATTGTTTCTTCAAGTCCTTCAATATCTTGGTAATGTAAACTACTTGAAGATGATAATTTTTGAAGTTCAGCACGCGTTCGTTGCCAATCTTCTTCACTACAAGAATATTTAATAAAATTAATTGATTTACCAGTCGAATAAATCTACAAAAAGATAAATTGGATATCAAGTCAATCCAAAAAAAAAATCAAACCTAATTCGATTCATGAAACTTACCTTTTTAGCAAAGACTGGATTAATAAAACTAGGCACGAATTCTTCCCTAAACACAAATTTACTTTCCCAAACTTTCCAACTTTCATTTCGGTTTAATGAATCTTGATCATCTTGATCTTGATGTTGATTTGGTTCATTGACACCAATGAAGAATTCTTCAAATCTATCTAACAATTCACCATCCCAAATCCAACTTCTTAAAAATTCAAAAAACGGACCACTAACACCTTCTAATAGATCTGAAACAAATTTAGACACGATCGGATCACCATGTTGGGTATAACTATCTAAGATTGAAATTAATTGACCTCCTCTTGTGTTTTCTGATGCTCCTAATAAAGCTGCACACATCCTTAATCTAAGTAAGGTTGGATTTAAATGTAAGAATAATGATTTGAGAGTAAATGAGTGTAGATTAGATTCGAGTAAAGCAATCACTCTGTAATATGTACCTAGTTCTGCTTGAAGTGAATAAATTAAAGCTTGAGCTACCATCCCAGCTGATGTATCACCCAGAGCGGCTCTTGACTTTGTGGTTAGGTTCTCATTTGCTGGTAGCATAGGTTCAATAGCCAATCGAATTCGTTTGTAGAGCCAACCGATTTCGGCTAATTTGAGGATTAAATCGCGTTGTGGTAAAGTGATGATTTGTGATGGAGGTTCATGAAATCGGATTCCATGATCTGACCAACTCTGATCTGCTAGATGATCTTCGTCTTCTTCTTCACTCCTATCATGAAATGATAGGTATTTGCCATCGATAGCTTGAAGTAAATAGACTAAATCACGTAAGAGAAGGTGTTCAGGAAGATGAGATGGATAACCATGTTGAGATCGTTTTGATTTTAATTTAGATGAAAGATTAGGTTTTTGATCTTTAGGATCTTGGTTTGGAACTGGAAGTGGGATGGTGTTTGGAATGGGTATCTGTGATCTTGATGATGATGATGATGAAGTAGGTTTTGATGTTTGATTTTCAGTTATATCGATCGTAGGAAGTGGTTGAATGGATTGAGATCTCGTTGGAGTTGGGTTTGCTAAAGCGTATAGGAATTGAATTGAGTTTGATTTTTCACGTGGATGTGGTAATGGATCTAGTCGAGTGAGTAAGTTATTGAGAGTTTGAGGTGCTTGAGGAGATGGATGTTGATCACGAACTGATTGGAGTGGTTTGTTAGTATGCTTTGATTTAAACTGTTCTCTTTGATTGGAACTAAATTGACTTACGATAACTAGAGATTTGTTGAGAAAGTAAAGAGAATGGGATCTTGGAATGACTAGCAGTACTTGAAGTTGAAGTGGATTGATTTAAGATTTCATTTGAAAAAGTTTGAAGACTTGAAGTTGATGAATTAATTCCAACTATTCTACGTATCAATTCATTTAAATCTCGATGAATTCGATCATGATTCATATCTCATCCTTTAACTTGAACAGAATATCCTCAGAGGTATGTATCTACTTGATGATATTGTTTAACTTGAGGATTAACTTGATGAATGATGATCGAATGATTGAAACATGCCAATGCCATCATCAGGATTCAGCATACACATATCCTGGCAGCTGTGGCCCGACACAACAGGGCTCGGGTTTTCAATCGGGTCATCTCTCAATTCGGAATTGACTTCAATTTGCACAAAAAATTCTCAAAAACCACGTCTCATATACGGGCGTTGATGAGCATTAACAAACCATGTCGTTTGGATGACTCTCAGAAGCTTATCCGATCAAGTGTTAAGAAAGAAAAGTGGCAAGGCCTATGATCTTAGAATCTTAGGCTACATATGCAGATAGCACCTTGCAAATTGAAGGATTCAGAATCGATTTGCTTGATATTACATCAGGTTTTGCTTCACTGCGAGATGAGGATGTTCGTATTCATACATTGTAACAAGAATTACCTTTGACACATCAGATGCATACATTCAACCACACATCTTCAATTATTTACTAAAAATTGAAACCTACTCCTAATGGATCTGAATTCCCTTCCACCACTTTATTCACATCATCTTCATTCTTCTTCATCTTGAAGATTTCTAATTCTGGTTTAACTTCTGATTTGATTTCCGTTAGATTTGAAAGTTTAGATTTCTTGTCTTCTTCATCATTCGTTCTCCATGGATTCTCTTCAACTAATCCACCTCCCATCAATCTTTCATCTTTACAATTTTTATCATTCCAACCACTCGATCCTAGCTCGACTTCTCTTGCTTCTCTTTCCTTCACATCTGATGTTGGATGAGTCGTTCCAAGATTAGGTTCATCTGCTTCTTTCCAAGGTAATCCACCTACAATTCCACTTCCTGTCGCTTCCTCATATCCTCTCTTCAATCGATCCCATGTACTCCATCCCATGGTTTTGGCTGTTTGAAAGGCCATTTGAAGTTGTTCTCCTCCGATCGCATTCAAATTCACATTATTATTCTCGAAATTCTCATTTGCTCCTCTTCTACTTGACGTTGACATATTCATGAGAGAATGTGATGGCGATACGGTTTGAGTCTTGAGTGGTGCGGTCAGATAGGATGGTAATGCCTCACCACTCCAATCACCGGATCCTGAATTGGTTTTGATACTACTACTGAGGTGTCCAGTCGGATGAGATCGGCGGTATTCATTTGAATCGGATGAATCGAGTCCTTGTCCTACATTGGTGCTACGATTCTCGTCAACCAACTTATTGATACTAGAAGCGGTAGTTGATCTAGAAGGATTAACTTCGGATGCGGTCGTCGATCGAGGTTTAGGTACAGGATTCATTTCTGAATCATCACAACCAAATAATTCCCACCAATACTTGACTTCTTTCGGGTTTGGTAACAATACACCTTGATCTTCATTTTCACGTTTGGTTGGATCATCTAAACTCGAATCATACAATTCATTTCGATATCGATCCCTTTTATCTCCTTCAAACAATTCCCAAACTGATCTAGTGGTAGAATGTGCATTATTTCGAATTCGTTCTTCTTCATTATCAAACAAAAACGTTCCATATTGAGCTGAATAAAGTTCTTTAAAGAGAGTTTCTAAATACATTGAATTAAATTCAAATCTTTGTGGAAATTGTCGAATGAGTTGATATACACAATCTAAGAATTGATGAAAAACTGGTGAAGTTTCTTTGTAAGCGTGAGAATGACTAGTTGAAGTGGTTGCAAAGTTTAATTGTTTTTGAAATGAAGTGACCCAAGCTGTACTACTTCCTGAACCAGAGGTACCGTCTACATTATCATCGAGATGATTGATACCATTATTGTTTTGAAGACTAGATCCAGAATTTGAATAAGTACTAGGATGTTCTCCAAAATTTACCATTTCTTTTCCTAATACTACTACCCCACTTCGATCTGAAAACTTATGACCAAAACTTAACCAATCCTTTTCGACTAAAATGGCAAATCCATCAAAGGTACGATAATAAGGATCCAAACAAACTTGTGAGAGAGCAGAGAGTTGTGAAGTTCGATCCCATCCATCAGAGCAATGAATGAGAACGTGAGAGTTTGAAACATGAACTGTTCTTGTGATCAAGCTAACCCCATCAAGAATTGCTGAGATGTGTTTGAGCCATCCACTTTTTCTTAAAGATTCTAATGAGACCGGTTGAGAGGAAATGAATGATTCATGAAGAGCTGAGACTAGTTTCTGAAGTGAATCACGCATGACATGAATATTATCGATCCCAAGATAAGCCTTGCGACATGCTTTGTAGTTTTCCATATTTTCTGTTCCTGCACCTTTGACCGTGTTAGCCATAGCATTGGTGGTAGGTCTTGCATCGATGATAAGATTGGTTGAGGTAGCACCGTAGATGACATGTTGATTTGATTGAGATGAGATGGTAGGAGGGGATGAGAGACTCGGTCCAGTATGGAGTGAATGAGAATGAAAGATGGCTTCGATCAGTTTCTCGTCTTGAATTGATCTTGCATTTTTGAAGCCGACCATCGGTTGACTAGACCTAGTGATTGAAGACTTGATGGTGTCACCAAAAAGCATTGAGAGTGAGCTATGTGTATCTGAGGAAGCATGGAAGTGATCTTCAAAGACATACCCCGTTGGCCCAATGAACATAAGTTCCGATCGGTAGTCGACCTTTACTTCGATATTTGACCGCATATGATAGTGTGGTGTCACTGATCTTTGCTGGCACAAGTAATGATTGCGGATAGGTTGAACAGAACTACAAATTCGAGTTAACACATGAAAATGCATGATCAGGTTTTCAAATATGAATTCCGAGGCGAGGTTCATTGAAACTCACATTGAAGTCATTGTTTATTGAAGTGATTCTCCAAGCCTTTTGATCACCTAGGGAATTCATTCTAGAGAATTCACGAATCGGATCATAAAGATTCCAACCGGGATGAATGAGATTTGAATTAGAATTAGTTGAATTGGATCCATATTGAAAAGCATAAGTCGAAGATTTATCTCCTTGTTGACGAGCATGAACTAAAGCTTTGATTGAATCCCAAACTTGTTCAAGTTGAGATTGAGAATGAAAGGTAAAAGTATAAGTGATAAAGTTAACTAAACGGATCAAGATAGTTGGTTCTGGTTGAGATGGAAGATATTGAACGGTGGCGATGAGTGCATGTGTAAACTGATTGATTGGTATGATATTGATATTTGATCAGTTTTGATGATAGGATATGTTTGAAGAGATGAATGATTGACTTACCCAAACTTCTTCATCTTTGGCATGATCGATTGAAGATTGAAGTTGATTAAGATCCGAAGGTGTCCAAATGAGATGATGAGTAGTAAGATGTAATGAACCGATTGATTGATTGATTTGATTTGATAAAGTTGATGGATTGGTTTGATGAGATAACTTTTTGACTTTGACTGATTCTACCTTTAAGATCATCGTATATCGGTTTGTATCGTATGATATGGTTTGGTATCGAAGTAGTCCCCAAGGAATTCATCAGGTAGAAAGATAAAGTCAGTAATCCGAATTAAGACTCCTTTAAGATCATCAACTCACTTTGCTAATCTTGATTTCATCCATTTCTTTTAATCTTTACAATTCTGTTCAACTTCTTCAAATACCATCCATGATCATTCTTCTTCTTCTTCTGCTTAATACATGCTTCATTCAAATTCAAATTCAATGGATATCTATAGTTTATTCTTTTGATCATGGGTTTACGTTATCCTATCCTATTGGTTACAACAGGTTATGTACAATCACACTGACGAGAGGAGACTCGAGAGACAGGGGAAGACAGTCTCGGGACCCACCCGGGCATGTGACCGGCCTGGAATATCCGATAACCTCATATTCATGACATGTGTAAGTACTCGGTTTAGGGTTGACAGGGTTCACATGACGACCATTAAACTTCCGATTTCTAATTGTCCATCAATCACGTTTTCTTCGAGCCATCAACTGATTTTCATTTCTCTCTAATTCTACCAATCCCATCCTTTTAATCCTGATTGCTATAAAAACCCTCTTCAACCTTTTAAAGCGCTGATCAACTTCACCTGCCATCCACTAACAACCATTCTAGTTCAATGCCCCTTTAGTCACATTCCTTTCACCCATTCAAAACTCAACAGGAATTACATATCAATCTTACCTTCTTGTTAAACTTCAACCTCCTCATCTCGAGCATGCCTGCAGTCTCTTTCGTAGTTCCTCATATCGATACCAAACCCGCTCAACGTTCTATTAACCCTTGCGATATTCGAAGTCCTCTTTCAGCTCTTCGTACTTCTGCGGCTTATTATCATCCCGCTTATCCTGCCAACTCACCTGACGTCGATCTAGTACTAGCTTCATCTGATCATGTTCCTTGCTGGTTTGCTGTCAACAAATCCAAACTGTTTTGTCATACGGATACCTTTCGCTCAGTTGGTCTTGAACAACTCACACCGGATAATAATCTCCCTTTAGTCCAACTTGGCGAAAGTCGTGATGTGATTGAGGTCATGCTTGCTTGTTTGGAGGCTGACTCTTTACCTGACTTTGGTAAACTCGACTTTCGTGTCATCGGTTCGTCTTTTCTTTTATGATCACTAAACGATTGCAAGGCCAAAGCGCTTACTTGTTTTTGATTTCACAGTCTCGGCTTTGGAAGCCGCTGCTGACAAGTACCGGCTGATTCATACGGAAAAGATCTGCTTACTTGCACTTGGGTACGTTCTGATCATTCTATATGGTTGCTTTTTGCTTGTAACTGATCTATTTGGGTTTATCTGATTCTTGCGCTTCAGGGCTTACTGCGCTACAAATCCAGTCGAAGTTTATACCTTGGCGTCTCATTATTACTGTCGTTGGCTAGCTGAGGCCGCTTCGGAACACACCTTGAATTTGGACATCACCCAACCCGATTATCAGGATATCTTGACAAGTGAAAACTATATCCCATTAGTAAGTCAACCCACTTCCATCCAGGTCGCATCACTCACAGCTGTTGACTTTGATCATAAAGCTCGATTTACACCAATCTCGTATACAATCCGCCAAGCTTATCATACAAAATCAAGCTATTGAATCCCATGGGGACAAATGTGATATCAGCAAGCTACAAGCCTTTTGGGCTGATGCCTCTCTTCGCATCATCTCTCGAATCACCAGTCCTGCTCTCGATATCGATCAGCTTTTTGAGCCAGAGATGAAGTTGGCTGTACAAGAGCTCTCGCCTTGTCTTAACTGCTATTCAATCCTAGTCCAAATCCGTGATCAAGTTAGGAATGAATGTCTAGGCCTCCGGCGCACCGTGAATGTACCTGTCGTAACCCCGGGACGTCAACTAGCCGATTATTTCAGTAGTTGATGCGATAGAATATCTGGGAACCCGATGTGCTCTCAGTCGCTCCTACTGACCTATACCCATCAATTTACCTTTTCTCAATTGAATTTTAACAGCACACATTCTCTAATGTGTATCTTGTTGCATTTTTGTACCTTTTGTGTGGTTTGTGTATTTCGTTGCATCTCTTGTGAGTTTCTCTTTTTTGTATATTGGGATTGAATTTTGATTTTGGAAAAAAAATGACTTGGTAAACATACACTCTGGTTTGCCAATCATCACCATTTGATTAGTTATGTATAACTTTTTGGATGGTTACCTTGCAATATAATCTTTGTCTAATAGATTTCTACCAAGATAAAAGGGAGTTGTCATTTGTCCAGACAAGCTTAGCTCCTGGGTGGTGGATTGTGTTAATTACAGATCAACTTCCCACAGCATATCAAGTATCTAGGTCCTTGTCCTAATTGGATGAGGGTGTATGCTTTATGTTCCCTTTGTAGGGAGATTCAGGTGAGGGGAAGGCTTTTTGATTGGAAAACTTCACCTCAGGCTCACAATAGCTCAAAATCCCTTTGTATGTTATAAGTCCTCTCGCGTTGAGTTTGCCTTAATATGAGCTTTTACACGAGATATTTAACTATCAAATTCTAGAAAATAATCCTAAACAAAAACCAACAAAACACTAGTTTGAACTCACTTTGAATTTATCGACTTGGTGAAAATTAAAGAATCCTTGGCCAACTCCATTGAATCCTCTGGCTCGACTTCAAGGTATCATGAGTCTAGAGAGTCTCCCGGAGGAAGTCTTGGAAAACATTGTCAGCATCGTATACCTTCAGTCTCATTCAGACACCTCAGAACACGACCATATCAATAAAAGAAGAGTAGAACGTATCCTCCACACCCCTAAGGGATGTCGGCCTTACAAGGTATATCTAGATCACCAGGCTCCACCAATTCTCACTACGTTTCAAACCCTGGCTGTTCTCAATCAAAGGTTTCATCGGCTTTGTTTGCCTAGGTTGTGGCAGGTATGAATGTCCTTTTTCTGCATGACCTGACGCTTCAACCTACAGAAGTAAGGCAAGCTGACCCAAATCTTTATTGCAATGCATCTACTAGAAAATCCGGTTTCCAAGTGATCAACCTGCTCCTATGTCACATTGGACGGAGAATATCCTCTTGAATCATGGAAACTTGGTAAAATCGGCTCAGTTTGAATTGGAAAATCGATTCTTTCCTGATGACTATAAGTTTTTGGAGACTGGTCGTAGTCTTTATGATAATACAGTGCCCATGGATGGAAATTTCACATGCAATTTCAGATATGCAATTGGACTGCTAAATGTTGAAAAGGTTATCAAAGCTTGTCCTTCTCTAGAGTCAATATCAATCACCATTCCATGCCGGAATGGTCACTGGGATCGATTTCCTCAATTTACAATCCGGTTGAAAGGTTTATTGAAACCTCTTCTGTAAGGCTCTGGGATGTACTGTAAAACGGGACTCTCGGATCGGAGTAGTCTTCTGAATGCGGCTCAAAGCAGTTCTTTCGGAACACGGTTCTATCTCAAAAGCGGAGATGTCAAACAATAGGAAAGGTAAGATAAATACACCAGGGGGTAATGGTCCTCGGCCTCGGCCGGTTCCAGTTTCGTTCCCAAAGTTTCGGTGAATAGAACCGCTCAGGAACCGCTGGAACCGGTGTCGCCAAAGCCGTTTCGGACATCGTTCCACGAACGGTTCAGGAACGAGCCCATGTCAGCCATCGTTTGAGAACGGTGGCTGATGCGGTGGTGAAGTGGTTATTTCGAAACCGAATGAAATCGGTGTCGAACTGTCAATTTTTGAACAGTGACTGTATGGAAATGGTCACGATGGATCAAAGATGAGCTTTTCAAGGACCCAGGAAAGCTCTTATTGAGGTTTCTGATGTAAATTCCGACATTTTGGCTCGCAACGCCGGTGAAATTTCAAAAAAATCCCTGATTCCGACATTTTACATCAGAAACCTCCCAAACAGCCCGAAGCAGAGGTTTCGGGGCCGGATACGGCCCCGTGGTGCTCAGGCACGGGGCTGGGGTACTACCAACCGCATTGGCTGGCTCTCAGAAGCACAAAGCAGCAGGGATATGCTTTAATAAGCATGGAGATAGTTTTATTTTGCAAAGGTTAATCTAATGACTGTAATGAATGTGATTTCATAAAGAGCGTAAAGTAGTAGAGAGAGAGGAAAAACAAAAAGCAAAAGATTCCTATTCATTATCTTCATGAACAGTCGACTTTTTTTTCTTTCTTTCTTCGTTGTACCTTTGAATCAGCTTGTCAATATCAATTTTTTGTAACATTCCCATTATAATTCTTGGCAATGAGTAACATCCTTCCTGAATTAACGCAAAGTTTGATCCATTGGAGGGCTTGAAGACGTAGACAATATCTGGGGCATCCAAGAGGGCATAGGTCCAGGAATCTGGAGCATTCCTTTCAGTAGCTAGTGCCACCGGAAGCCCTGGCTCGTAATATAATACTTGCACACCAACATGTGATATCTTTTTTCTTGATGTGGCACTCGTGACAAAGGCATGTTTTCCGGCCACATGCTCATAGACAACTATCGTGCGTGCAAGATGCAATGTCTGATCCCACAAGATGTCAGTAATTGTTTCCTAGATGTCTTCAAACAAAATGAAATACATACATTGTTTTTGATAAATATGAGGAGTTTACCGGGCTCAATTGGATTCTCAACCCCAATCGATCCAGCATCGAATAACTGCTGCAGGTCCAAAGCTCGATCTGTTGTGGTGTTGGTGATAATCCCCGCCAGATTTATCTTTACATGCATATTCCACCGGTGCCGACGTGCGGCACCAGCTGGAGTTCCAGAAAAAGTCTTCATAAAGACTGCTATGGCTTTCGAGCAAACACTCGGTTTCATGCCACCATCGTTGGTAGTTGAGTTGAGCTCATGGACAAGGTCATCACGGTTGGTCAGCATACGATCATTACCTTTATTCTTGGAAACCTGACTATCATGACTTCGTCGTAGCTTCATGATGTTCTTGTGGTGAAGTTTGTCACCATCAATCAGGCTCAACGATTCTTCACCCACTGTCAAGTCTATGGTCTTGTGAGGCTCGTCTGGTTTGTAAGAGACAAGTCAGTTAATCAGTTTATTGCTGGCTAAGGTAGAACATACCGCTAGAGTTGAGAAGGTTTGATATTGACATCGCAGCATTCTGAACTACGTCGCCCTCAAGAGTTTCGGGTACTTTATCGAGCATGAGATTGAGAGCATTCTGCTCTTTTGTTAATATAGCTGCGGTTTCAAAAGCCTCATCCTCGGGAAATTCCCCCATGTCGAAGCCATATTTTATTTGATAATCTTTGGCAGCGCTCGTTGAGATATCTGCAAATTGTAGAAAATTATCAGCTTAACAAACAGAAGATACGGAGATATCTTTGCTTATAATTACTAACCCGGCGAGTCTTCTTGAACTTTCTCAACAGTTGATCGGACAATTTCCTCTACATCATCGTCTAAATCTTCAAGCTCATTTACAACCATCTCACAATATTCTGCCAAACTAAGAGCACGTTTTTTGGCAATGTCGAGATCGTCTGATATCTCTTTATTAGACGGAAAGTTGCGCAGATGATCGAGGTTGTTGGGATTTTCTTCATTTAAAGAGATCTGGTAGCCCGCATGTAGGTGTTCCGATGGTGGCATCTTCATTCTACCACTCATGATGCTCTTGACAACTGCGATGATCTTTGGCATCATGAGGCGGGCATCAAGGACACTAAAATTGGGAAAGATGACACGCATCCATCCAAAGATGTGTTCACAAGCTTCTGTTCCGTGCT